ACCCGTCTTGGGAGCCTCTTGGGCCTCTTGGGGGTCTCTTGGGAGCCTTTTGGAGGCCTCTTGGGCGCCTCTTGGGGGCCTCTTGGGGCCTCTTGGGGCTCTCTTGGGGCGCTCTTGGGGCGCTCTTGGGAGCCTTCGAAGCGCTCTTGGGGCCATCTTGGAGGAGATCTATCAAAGAAAGGGGGTTCCCCAATTAGCGCTGCCCCTCTAGAGTGCCTCGAGTCGCCTCTTGGGCGCCCCAAGAGGCCAAAATCCTTCCAAAACCTAGGTAAAACCAATGTTTGTTGCTTTCTCGCCTTTTCGCTCTTGGAGCCGTCTTGGGTCATCTTGGACTCTCTTGGGGCCTCTTGGGGGTCTCTTGGCAACGTCTTGAAGGCTTCTTGGGGGCCTCTTGGGGTCTCTTGGGGCCCTCTTGAGGCGCTCTTGGGGCGCTCTTGGGAGCCTTCGGGGCGCTCTTTGGGCCATCTTGGAGGAGATCTATCAAAGAAGGGAGGTTTCCTTATTAGCCCCGGCCCTCCAGAGTGCCTCGAGTCGCCTCTTGGACCCCCCAAGAGGCCAAAATCCTTCCAAAACCCAGGTAAAATCAATGTTTTGTGTTTTCTCGCCTGTTCGCTCTTGGAGCCGTCTTGGGTCATCTTGGACTCTCTTGGGGCCTCTTGGGGGTCTCTTGGCAACGTCTTGGAGGCTTCTTGGGGGCCTCTTGGGGTCTCTTGGGGCCCTCTTGAGGCGCTCTTGGGGCGCTCTTGGGACCTTCGGGGCGCTCTTTGGGCCATCTTGGAGGAGATCTATCAAAGAAGGGGGGTTTCCTTATTAGCCCCGCCCCTCCAGAGTGCCTCGAGTCGCCGCTTGGACCCCCCCAAGATGCCAAAATCCTTCCAAAACCTAGGTAAAATCAATGTTTTGTGTTTTCTCGCCTGTTCGCTCTTGGAGCTGTCTTGGGCCATCTTGGACGCTCTGACACCTCGCGACCGGCCCCGTCCAGGTCAGTGGGGAGGGGTAAGGGGAGGGGTAAACCCTTCCCCGAAGGGGAAGAAGGGGGTTGGCAGAGGAAACTCCCTAGACCACCTACGCCCTAAAGGGCTGGTGGGATTTATCAGGGATCGTGGCCTCGTGGGCGCGAGCGTGGTGGTTTTTCCGAGGGATCGTGGCCTGGGGGGCGCGAATGCGGAGCCCACCGCCGGATTTTCAAGAAACGGCGGGGGGGCAACACAATACCAGCGAAACACATATCACAATACAGAAAATTTTAGTTTTTCTGTTCTGGAGAGGGGGGGGGCGAGCCTGTCTCTCTCCTGTCCGTCAGCTACAAGATCGTGGCGAGCCTCATCCTGAACAGAATGTCCACTGGAGGGGTGGAGGAGAAACTGAGGGACACGCAATTCGGTTTCCGGAAGCAGAGGCGTTCCACTGATGCGATCTTCTTAGTTCAAAGAGCGATCGAACGGACCTGGGCGTCCAAAGACGGGCAACTATCAACCATATTCCTAGATTGGTCGAAGGCGTTTGACAGAATACCAGCAGCCCTCCGAATCGCTCTTGCCCGGTTTGGCATCCCGCGGGCCTATTGCGACATGATCAAGAGCCTATTGCGACATGATCAAGAGCATTTATACCAACCGCACGTTCGAAATGACAGATAGCCATGGCTCCTCCGGAACCCGCCCAATAGGCGTGGACATCGCCCAGGGTGCCCAGGGTTGCCCAGTGAGCCCACACCTCTTCATCATTATGCTGTCAGTGCTCATGGCAGATGTACAGGCCGACTTGGTGAACGAGTTCGGCCCAACTCCTTCGGATCAAATGTGTTTCGATGTTACTTTTGCCGACGATACGGCGCTTATTTCAGATGATATGCCAAGGCGCAGCATTTTCTGAACCGTCTCATTGTGAGGGCCCACGCGTACGGACTAGAACCAAATTGGGCGAAGACCGTCCATTTACGAGTCAGGCATGCTTCGGACGTCTTCGCTCCAGACGGAGTCCCAGTGAAGCCTGTGACTTCTGCAGTCTACCTCGGGGGTCTCTTGTGCGCAGACTGCGGCACTGGCACAGCCGTGGCAAGGAGGATCGGAGAGGCGAGGGCTGCGTTCCACACCCTCGAAGTAGTATGGCGGCATGCCAACATCCGGCGATCACGGAAGCTTACGTTGTTCCAGGCGTACATCATAAGCAAATTGATGTACTGCATCGAGACGCTCTGCCTCAAGAAAGCTGACCGAGACAAGCTCGATGCCTTCCACGTGCGATGCCCCCCGGCAAGTATTGGACATTCCGCACTCCATGGTGTCGCGGGTCTCGAATGCAGAGGTGCGACGACGAGCACGCGAAGTGGCACTGAACCAAACAGTTATTTTCCGACAGCTCCTGTTTTTTGGCAGGATCGCGGCCATGCCGGATTCGCTCCTCAGACGCAGCGTTTTCAGCGCAGGATCTGTCGAGCCCGCCAGCTCACACGCACCGAGGCGGAGAGGTCGACCCCATTGACATGGAGCTCAATGGTCAGAGCGCACGCCTTTTCGGCGATCAGGGGTCTCTCACCCCCTCCTCTTCCTCGTCCTCCTCTCCCCCCTCCTGCCCTCCCTCTCCCCGCCCCTGCCCCCCAAGAGAGCGACTTGTTTCAATTTTTCAGTCCTGGACATTATAACCCGCACATGTGGAGGACAATCGCCAGCAGGTACACCTTTTCTTGATCTGTCATTGATTTCTGCGCCCTGGCCTGGACATGCGCCTCCAGCCGGCGGCACTTCTTCAGCCGATGCGTCGTGCAGACACGGCGCTATTGATTGAGAGGGGGGGCGCTTTTTCGGCAGCCTCCACGGTGCGGATTCGTGGCCTCGGGGGCGCGCCCGCTGCTCAATTAACGATGGTTCGCCGCTTCGGGTGCTCGAATGTGGTGTAATTTACTACGGCTTCTGGCGTCGGGGGCGCGAATGTGGTGTAATTTACAAGGGATCGTGGCCTCAGGGGCGCGACTGTGGTGTACTTTGCAAGGGGTCGTGGCCTCGAGGGCGCGAATTTAGTGTAATTTGCTGGGGATCGTGGGCTCGAGGGCGCGAGCGTGGTGGAATTTACGAGGGATCGTGGCCTGGGGGGCGCGAGTGTGGAGCCCACCGCAGAATTTTCAAGAAATTGCGGGGGGGGCAAAACAAGACCAGCGGAACACATATCTCAATACAGAAAATTGTAATTGTTCTGTTCTGGAGAGTGGGGGGCGCCTTTTCGGCAGCCTCCACGGTGCGGATTCGTGGCCTCGGGGGCGCGCCCGCTGCGCAATTAACGATGGTTCGTCGCTTCGGGAACGCGAATGTTGCGTAATTTGCGCATGGGCTTTGGCGTCAGAGCGCCAATTTGGTGTAATTTTCCACGGATCGTGGCCTCGGGGGCGCGAGTTGTGTAATTTGCAAAGGATTCTGGCTTCGGGGGCGCAAACTGTGTGTAATGTACAAGGGATTGCGGCCTCGGGTGCGCGATTATTATCTACATGATGAAGGATCGTGGCCTCGAAGGCGCGAATGTGGCGTAATTTACGATGCGTCGTGGCTTCGGAGACGCAAATGTGGTGTACATTGCAAGGGATCGTGGCTTCGGAGCGCGACTATGGCGTATTTTACGGGGGGTCGTGGCTTCGGAGGCGCGAGTACAGCGTAATTTACAAAGGATTATAGCTTCGGGAGCACGAGTCTCACGTATCTTGACGTGTCCCACGCCCCCCCGATTCTTCTGCTGCTGATCTGCGTGAGGGGTGCTGCCGAATTTCAGAAATGTTGCAAATCCCATGTGTGTTTGCACCCTGACCCTACGGATCTGCGCGAGGGGTGCCGCCAGATTTTAAACATGTTGAGAATCCCATATGTGTTTGGACCCTGGCTCCGCCGATCTGCGTGAGGGGTGCCACCGAATTTCAAACATGCTGAGAATCCCATGTGCTTTTGGACCGTGACCCCGCCGATCTGCGTGAGGGGTGCCACTGAATTTCAAACATGCTGAGAATCCCATGTGCTTTTGGATCCTGACCCCGCCGACCTGCGTGAGGGGTGCCACCGGATTTCAAACATGCTGAGAATCCCATGTGTTGTTGGACCCTCACCCCGCCGATCTGCGTGAGGGGCGCCACCGGATTTCAGAAATGTGGCAAATCCCTTGTGTTGTTGGGCCCTGACCCCGCCGATCTGCGTGAGGGGTGCCACCGAATTTCAGAAATGTGGCACATCCTTTGTGTTCTCGGACCCTGACCCTGCCGATCTGCGTGAGGGGTGTGATTTTTTCTCCCCCCCAGGAATTCTGAGAGCCCTCCCAGGGGACGCTAACCAGGCTGGTTTTCTGCTCTTCCCCTGGCGCGGACAGTAGCAATTTACAGTAGGAAGCAGAAAGCAGAAAGCAGTAGTGTAACAATGGAAGCTGGAAGCTGGAATTGGCGCAGGGAGCAGCAAGCTTAAGCCTCGCAGCCTGATGGCACCGCAAGGCGCAAGGGGGCCGGCGGATTTTGTTGATGTTGATGCTGATGATGCTGCTGATGGTGATGGTGAGGCTGGTAATCATGGCGATGGTGATGATGAGGATGCTGGTGATGCTGATGCTGAGTATGGTGTTACTGATGCTGCTGATGATGCTGCTGCTGATGATGATTGTGGTGATGGAGATGATGATGTTGATGATGCTGATAATGAGGAGGAGGAGGATTATGATGATGACGATGATGATGATTGATGGTGATGATGATGCTGATGATGATACTGATGCTGATGCTGATGCTGATGATGCTGTGGAGGAGAGAAGATCGAGCAGGGAGGATGGAGGAGGAGGAGGAGGAGGAGGAGGAGGAGGAGGAGGAGGAGGAGGGGGAGGTGGAGGAGGAGAACGAGGAAGAGGAGCAGGAGTTGGAGGAAGGGGCAAGGCCGGCAGGAAGGAAAGGAGGAGGAGGAGGAGGGAGCAGGACGAGGAGGCAGGAGGGGAAGGCGGAGAAGGAGGATTAGGGAGGAGCAGGAGGAAGGCCGAGCGAGGTCGAAGAGGCCGAGCTCTACCTGCCGATGCGCGCAGGCGCTGGCGCTGGCACCATCCAGGTCCTCAGGCCCGTCGGCCAGCCGCCGTTGGTGGGGGCGCGGAGTGCGCCGCTCCTTCAGGCCCTCGCCGTCGGTGTTGTCGTTCGGGTCGCCGCCGTCGTCGGCGCCGTTCCCGCCCTACCTTCTCTTTCCACCCCCCCCCCTCGTCGTCGTCGTCGTCGTCGTCGTCGTCGTCGTCGTCGTCGTCGTCGTCGTCGTAGTCGTAGTCGTAGTCGTAGTCGTAGTCGTAGTCGTAGTCGTCGTTGTCGTCAACGTCGTTATTCTCCTCATCGTCCTCGTCCTCGGCCGTTCCCTCCTCCCCCGCTCCCAATCTCCTCTTGCTCCTGCTCTCTGTCGTGCTGCCCTGCCTTCGCAGCTCGCTTCTCCCAGCGACCGCATTAATTACGCTAGACCCCACGCGAAGCCCCCGAAAGTGGCGACAGCTTCACAGTTCGCAGAGGCCCCATGGATCAAGAAGGAGGCCACGATAGTGGCGACGGCTTTGTAGCTCGCACCCCCCAGGGACGGCGAGGTCCCATTCAGGTCTGCGTAGCCCCGCACTGCGCTGGACCCCCGAGGAGCCCACGAAAGTGGCGACAGCTTCGCAGTTCGCGGCCCCCGCACAACGCTTCACCCACCGACGAGCCCGCCAAAGTGGCGATCGTTTCGCAGTTCGCAGCCCCTCATGGAAAGCGAGATAGAGAAGGTAGGAGGCAGGATGAGGGAGGGAGGCGGGAGAGGGAGGGAGGCGGTAGGACGGGGAAAGGAGACATCAGTGTTTTGTTCAAAACGAGAACCCAACGCCGTTGGGGAGTAAGCGTTTCGCTCCAGGCATCCCCAATGTCTCAGATGCTTGATGAGTTGTGTTATGACGCGCTCTCCCATAGAAGTGTACGATTCGCTCGAGACATCCTCGAACAATGGTGTGTTGAGTGAGCTGCGCTACGACTACATGTTTCCATTTCTGATGCCACCGCAGGGAGCACCCAAGACGGACCTCAAACGTAATCATGTAACCCACGTCGCACCAACACATATCACAACACATAATGCAGATCACACAGCACATCACGTATGGTGCTTACCCCACCACACCTTACATGACCCACCACCTGGCGTCGCGGCCACGCGCGCAGCGGTGCGGTGAAGGAAAGGTCGGGCGGAGTGACGTTCGCGACCCGCCCCGGAACATGCTGCGTGGAGATACTGGATCCGCACATAAGGGGGTCAACAGCATCACTTGCGAGGGGCAGTCGCGAGGGGAGTAGCAGGGGAGAGTGGGATGGGGAGAGGGGTAGACAGGCCGCGGAGAGCAGTGCGCAGTTCAGGCGACAAGGAGGGGGCGCAGAGGCGGACCGCAACGGCGGAGCGCGCGTAGGACTAGCGGTCAGACAGATTGAGGGCCCTGTGTGCAGCACTGGCCAGGTCAAGTCAAGTCAAGACACCATCGCATGATATTACACGACGTAGCTTTTACTACAAAGCGTGCACCACATAGCTTAAGCCACATTGCTTACACCACGTAGCTTGCACCACACAGCTTGCGCTACATTACCTAACAGCGAAGACTGATAGGTTTCTACAAGACTCAAAAGAGAGCAGCAGATGACTCCACAGGGGGGTCTGGGCGGGTGCCGGACAGGGTGCCGCAGAAGTCGTTTTAAGCCAACAGTCACACACTTCGTGCTCTTCGACCTCCCAGAACTCCATTCCCGGGCCACATTCTGAATGCCCGGAGCCAACTGTAGGCCACTTCGTGCTCTTCGACTTCCCAGAACTCCATTCCCGGGCCACATTTTGAATGCCCGGAGCCAACTGTAGGCCACTTCGTGGTCTTCGAGTCCCCAGAACTCCATTCCCGGGCCACATTTTGAATGCCCGGAGCCAACTGTAGGCCACTTCGTGCTCTTCGAGTTCCCAGAACTCCATTCCCGGGCCACATTTTGAATGCCCGGAGCCAACTGTAGGCCACTTCGTGCTCTTCGATTCCCCAGAACTCCATTCCCGGGCCACATTTTGGATGCCCGGAGCCAACTGTAGGCCACTTCGTGCTCTTCAAGTTCCCAGAACTCCATTCCTGGGCATGATTTTGAATGCCCGGAGCCAACTGTAGGCCACTTCGTGTTCTTCTAGTTCCCAGAACTCCATTCCTGGGCCACATTTTGAATGCTGAGGCAGGCTGATGCTGCGGCCGAGGCAGGCTGAGGCTGAGGCAGGCTGAGGCTGAGGCCGAGGCTGAAGGCAGACTGAGGCTGAGGCTGAAGCAAGGCTGAGGCTGAGGCTGAGGCAGGCTGAGGCTGAGGCAGGCTGGCTGCAGGCTGAGGCTGAGGCTGCAGGCTGATGCTGAGGCAGGCTGAGGCTGAGGCTGAGGCTGATGCAGGCTGAGGCTGAGGCAGGCTGAGGCTGAGGCCGAGGCTGAAGGCAGACTGAGGCTGAGGCTGAAGCAGGCTGAGGCTGAGGCTGAGGCAGGCTGAGGCTGAGGCTGAGGCAGGCTGAGGCTGAGGCAGGCTGAGGCTGAGGCTGTGACTGCGACTGCCGTTGCCGCTGCGACTGTCATCGCGAATGCGACTACGACTGCGAGAACAGCAGAATTCTACAACTGGATTTCATCTGAATCTTAAGGGGAATGCTTTCCAGATATGCTTCTACACATCGCTGTTAGGTTGCTTTGCCGGGATAATTTTTACCTAACAGCGTTTGCTGATAGGTTTCTAGTGGTCAAAAGAGAGCAGCAGATGACTCCACAGGGGGGTCTGGGCGGGTGCCGGACAGGGTGCCGCAGAAGTCGTTTTAAGCCAACAGTCACACACTTCGTGCTCTTCGACCTCCCAGAACTCCATTCCCGGGCCACATTCTGAATGCCCGGAGCCAACTGTAGGCCACTTCGTGCTCTTCGACTTCCCAGAACTCCATTCCCGGGCCACATTTTGAATGCCCGGAGCCAACTGTAGGCCACTTCGTGTCTTCGAGTCCCCAGAAGCTCCATTCCCGGGCCACATTTTGAATGCCCGGAGCCAACTGTAGGCCACTTCGTGCTCTTCGAGTTCCCAGAACTCCATTCCCGGGCCAGATTTTGGATGCCCGGAGCCAACTGTAGGCCACTTCGTGGTCTTCGAGTTCCCAGAACTCCATTCCCGGGCCAGATTTTGGATGCCCGGAGCCAACTGTAGGCCACTTCGTGGTCTTCGAGTTCCCAGAACTCCATTCCTGGGCATGATTTTGAATGCCCGGAGCCAACTGTAGGCCACTTCGTGTTCTTCGAGTTCCCAGAACTCCATTCCCGGGCCACATTTTGAATGCTGAGGCAGGCTGAGGCTGAGGCTGAGGCAGGCTGATGCTGAGGCAGGCTGAGGCTGAGGCTGAGGCTGATGCAGGCTGAGGCTGAGGCAGCTGAGGCTGAGGCCGAGGCTGAAGGCAGACTGAGGCTGAGGCTGAAGCAGGCTGAGGCTGAGGCTGAGGCAGGCTGAGGCTGAGGCAGGCTGAGGCTGAGGCTGAGGCAGGCTGAGGCTGAGGCTGTGTCTGTGACTGCCGTTGCCACTGCGACTGTCATCGCGAATGCGACTACGACTGCGAGAACAGCACAATTCTACAACTGGATTCTCATTTGAATCTTAAGGGGAATGCTTCCAGATATGCTCCTACACATGGCTGTTAGGTTGCTTTGCCGGGATAATTTTACCAGCGTGCGGGAGCCCAGTGGCAAGGCGGGGACAAAGAGAAGGGGAGGAGGGGCGGGAGGCAGTGAGGGAACAACAGCGGCCGCGCCGCCGCCCTCGGGACGGCCCTGGCGCGCGCCCACCCAATTAGTCAGGGGCACCCGGCCGCTCTTGCAGACGAGCCCGCAGGGCCGCGCGCCACTCGGCGTCGCGGCCGCCAGCGGGCCCCGCAGGCAGCAGGAGCAGCATGGCGGCCCGCGGCGGCAACGCGGGAGCCCAGCCGCCGCAGGGCCGGCTCGCGAACCGCCGCCAGCACGGCGCCCAGCACCCGCATTTCAGGCAAGCGACCCACGCCGGGCCCTGCACCGCCGCATGCGGTTGCCAGGCGTCGCCTTCAAACAACGCCCTCGCCGCGGCCGCCTGCCCATGGCGGGGGTGCTCGGGGGCCGCGGCAGCGGCCCAAGCCGCGCCCGAGCCCGCGGCGCCGCGGCGGCGGCGGCTGCTGCCGCATCCCCCTCTCGCGGCGCCCGTCTGCGGCGGTGGCTTGGCGCCACCCAGCGGCGCCGGACTCTGGGCCCAGCTGGGCCCAGCTGGGCCGGCGCGGCCGTGGTTGGCTTTCGAGGATGCCAGCTCCACGGCGGCCGCCGAGCGCTGGACCGCCGCGAGCGCCTCCAACTGCCCCTTGCGCTGCTGGAGGAACGCCAGCGGTGGGAGCCGGGCCTTCGCACCAGCGCCAGCCAAAGTGTTCGCCGCATCGTTCCCGGCCCAGTCCTCCGCCGAGATGTCCCGATCGGCAGCCTCCGCCTGGGATAAATGAGTTTTCGCCCAACGAGCCCGCAGCAACCCGGAGCGGCAGAGCGGCGCGATCGCCTCCCACAAATCAGCATGACGCTAATTCATCGGGTTCGCGCCGCCGCGCAGCGCGACCACCCCATGTGCGACGAATCGCGAGTCGGTCACGGCGTCCACTGGCGCCCGGCCAGACTGCGCGCGTGCGTGGCAGCCCACCGTCTGGCGGCCGTCCACAGGGCCGTGGCTGTCGAGACGCCCCGACGGGGAGGCCTTCGAGGCGATCCCCAGCCCGCTCGAGCGAGCAGCGGGTCGGCTGGGTGCAGGCATGAACCGTCAGTCCAAGCGCGGACCCTCCCTTGCGGTAGCTGTGGCGTGGCGGGGTCTGGCAGCGGCGGCAGCTGGGGCGCCTGCTGGGCGTCGCTCGCCAGGGCCTCCAGGTGGGTGTCCAGAGGCAGCACCGCGGTGCGCGCGACCTTGGTTGACAGGCAGGGGCGGGCGGCCGCCAGGGTGAAGCCGCTGCGCGCCAACGCCGCGGCGCGGGTGGTCTCCCACCGCGGGCAGAGTCACAGTCGGTGCTCGAGGTCTTCCACCGCGGCGCCGCAATGAGGGCGCGCTGGCGGCCGCCCCCATTTT